TGTGCGGGGCTCGTACAGCACGGGACGTAACGCCCTGTACCGTACAGGCTGTACGGTACAGGCGCTATTCTGAGTCGGAACATTTGAGGCCGGAGAATGAGACCCTACAAAGACGGTGCCTAGCTCAGAGAACGATAATAGAGAAAGTGAGTGACAGCCCCCAGCTGTCAGCCCGATCGTCCTCCAGACCAAACGAACCTTTTCGACACCATATCAGTGATATGGATGCTGTCAACGCGATGATTCTCACATACTCTGGGGATCATCGCATTGTCAAGATAAACTCTTGCCGTGAAAATCCTGAGCGATTCCGCCCGATTGTAGGCTGAAGCTCACCAATTTGGGCACATCGCAGTTGTCTACAATATAGCGATTCAACTTGTGGCCGGCTTCACCCTTTTGGAATGACTGTGCAAAATATTCGGCTTCCACCTGGAGTTTATTTCGGGGAGCAACGCCGAATCGACAATGTATTGTGTGTATAAGTAGCCACTCGCTCGCGTCTCTCAGAACGAATGATACTGGAACATTACAGAATACGCATGATATGGAAAAGTCTGATGCCGAATGATACCGTCTCTGATGAGCAATCTAATGTAATATCCACACGACTAGATTGATAGTCCACCAAATAAAAAAAGCTAACCGCGAATGCTCTGTGAGCCAAACCAAGTTGTCCTGAGTAATGAGGGAACACTTCGTTGTGACCACATCCCCACAGATGGTGATATAACAATGAGTAAATAGTCAGTACCCAACGGCAGAAAAGTAGGGTCATGTTGGGAGAATAATGATTATTCAATAATCAAAACAAAGCTTCATCACTTTGCTCAAGGCTGTCCAATATACTTACCAAGCCCATGGCTCATGACAAGAATTTTACCAGTGAGACCCGGGAAAGGCATAAGAACGCCATATAGTGTGTGCGAGTCGTAGTCCAATGGGAAGAGGCCAGAAACGTCTTCGTACTGCGATTGAGTAAGGTGAATAGCGAACACATCGAGGATATCCGTGCCTGGCACATATTCCCAGTGGGCTCTCAGCGGACCGACATTTGCATTTGCCACCACCATGATGACAGTGTTGTCCCCCCTGAAGTTGAGAACCAGGAAGGCGGTGTGCCAAGGCTTGCTCGTGAAGAATAGACCGTGAAGATCGCCGAGCACGTTGTTGTGGAAGCTCAGAACGATGAAGATCAAATTGATGCTTGAGATGAACATGAAGCCGATTCACTTGGAGTCTCCGATTTGAAGCACAACGATCTGCACGCGTGAAGT